CGCAAGAACGATGGGACGCGGACGACGTCGTGGGCAACAGCTTTAATTATAAAGATGAGGAGGAGGTTATCAAAAATAAATTTTGACGCACAAAACAACTATTCCACGCGGTCGGAGTCACGGGTACGACTAGTCATTACTAATTTTATAGCGGTAATGTTTAAGCCCGACGAGCCGTTATGAAACCGCTTGGTGGGTCTGAGCTCTTGAATCCTAAGAGAGATAAAGGTGTTTGCAGGGAGATATTAATAGGGTAAAACGACGAAACGAAATTTACTTTAATTTTACTTTTGGCTTACGGTCATCATCATCTAAATGACCTAAGTTTATAATTTGCATAATAATAGCATAAAATAATCTAGACCTAGATACAAATCTAGAAAAAAATTGCATCTAGATAAATTGTGGCTATGTACCTAAATGTATTATTCAATACTAGCCATGCGCACAATGGTATATTAAGATTGCACAAAGGAAACATTTTCATAAGTTACTTAAGTGTATGTAGAATTTGTTATATGTATGTTTAATTTATCCGAACGAGCCGCTATTATTACTTTTTTGTGTGTCTGTCTGTCACCAGACTGTATCTCAACTTCACATAATATCTATTTATATTTGTTGCCGTGTTCTAGTGTGGGGACTAGAAACTCTATCGGCAATCCGTGTTTATGGAAGCAAAATGGAGAATTCTAAATTCGAATTTTTTGTCACATTTTTTGGTCTGTATCAATAATGTCAACAGGAAATTACACTGTAACGAGTCATGACTAGTTTCAAATTGCAAACCTACTAATAATTCATAAGATTTCAATGTGACGTAAGTGTACGTAAAAAATAATAACACGATTGACGGTTAAAAACGCAAAATATATTAGATTTTGTCGACCCTTCATCCGTTAGTCCAACTCGTACTTGTTGGCTATACAATTTATAATCTAACATAAAACGATCACATATAATTGAAGTAAAATAAAAATTTCAACCTGATGAATAAAGATTATTATTAAATTTACTAATAAACTTTGAAAACTTAGAGGTTGCTTAGCCTTCGACATTCTACGACAATTAACGAACACGCGAAAGCCTCATTAACGACAAGTGCTCATCATTTATTTGTGATATTGGTGTATCGACCCCCAAATCTATAATAAGAACTTTGTTCAACAATAGCTTTCGGTTAAAGCGATGAGTAATTTCCGGATTTCTTCTGCTGAAGATATCTCGTCTTCTGAGAATATATCTCGCGTTCAAACAAAGCTATTATTTAAGTTAATTCTTATGCATATGGTCTACCACATCTCGGTTGCAATGTACGGATTATAATGTAAAAAAAACTTTTTTAATATAAAATAATTTTATGTATTTTAGTTTAATAAACACATTTTTAATGGTTAATAACGCATCCACATGACCATAGCCACTGGAGAGCACACGAAACGTCGGATTGTAGTTAAAATAAGTTTTAAACCTCGTTTTAAACCGATAAAACGTGTTTTATCACAAAACACCACTACACGAGAAATAGAGAATTTGAAACTATAGGTATATGTGGTTTATAAAGACTATCTCTCAAACCTGCAAACCAAAAAGGTTAAGGTTTAAATGGCTTATGTACAAATACAGACAAAAATATCTGAGATTTGCTATCAAACGAAAGTGCAGTTATTTTAAAATGCATTCCACAGGTGGCCGACCCACATTAAATTGTAAATGACCAATAATAGCTTTTAACGTATAAAATCAACAAAGCCTATATTGGTTCGATACAATAACAAATATGTTTACCGATAACCGTCCCGAATCGGAGTTGTATAGTTCAAGGACGAAAGAATAGTGCGTAGATGCGTGGATCAAAAACGACGAAGAATTGTCAGTAGTCAAATGGAAATTTGATGTAAGTTGACATACCCTAGCCATATAACATCTAAGCAAGATGTGCTGTCGATCTATTTTAGCTTTGGATACTCGGATATCAAGGTAAACTTAAGACACAGACTAACAAATAAATATCTGACTTTGATGTAAGTAAGATTAAACCATTTTCTCTTATTCAAAGCTATCTTAAAACACTATTCTCAAATCGAATAGAATTTTCAATGTTTATCTTATTAGCAATGTGTCAGTATCAGTCACCCTGCCCTATATTACAAATGAAGGCCACACATTTAGGTGAATATCACAAATCATTAGTGGAAAAACAAAAATACTAGATCACAGCTGCAGTTTTATTTATTCCACGCATTTCGTAATCAAACAGATGGCATATTTTTTTAAGAATTTATACACCGTCATTAATTATAATCTGGATTTCGGCGTTACAAGGGCGATCTGTCAAGATTTTATGAGACGTCTGGACGTCTATCTCTATGTTTAAATCTAGATAGAAAAAGTGCTCTTAAACTGTGATGAAGTATGAATGAAATACTGTCTATAGTTTACGCGAGTAGTACACATCTCAATAAAACACGTTAACGGTTTAAAACGCGATACATTAGTTAAACTTATTTGAAAATGATTTTTAACTTCGGCCCGACGTTTCGGGTGATTTGCAGCAGCCGACCCCGTGACCACGGCTGCTGCAAAGCACAGTGTTTTATTTAAAAAAAATGAATGATTTAGAAAGAGAGGCATTGGATTCACTTGATCGACGGTCGGATTACCTGAGCCTTAAACATCTAAGTATGATGTGCTGTCGACCTTTTTTCGCTTTAGACATAAAGACTGAAACCAAAACGCGATTACCGTTTACGGCTTTTCCAATTATGGGCGGTGTTTCGTGTATTCTCACCATTCATGTTTGCCAGATTAACAATATTATATAAATAAGTCGGACTTGGTGGGGATTGGACCGACGGCTCACTGATTATTATGGCATTCACATTGGACAGTCACGAGAGTACAGGAAGCAGTACTTTGGTACTACAATCATTATTAATTATTTATTTTATTGTAGATATAGGAAATGATAAGTACTCTTTGTTGATTTACTTTGACTTTAGGTTATTCTTACGTTGCCCCAAAAAGATTTCAATATCCCGTTCCCTTCCATGGAACACGAGCCGAGCACAGTTCTGTGTTCATTTCAGTTATTTATTTTATTTACAAGCGATTAGTCGGTAACCATTGAGCTTCAGAAAAAAACTTTTTATACGATAAGCATAACCTTAGCACCATTTTACCAGAAGACCATAAGAAATAAACATAAGGATTTCCTTCTGAGCTTCGCTGAATACTGACTCACAATGCTTAATAAAATAGTTTGGTGCGAAAGATGAAAAGCCAATATGATGTGCACTTGTGAAAACATTGGATTCTCTGAAGACGCACAAGGATCATCCATCATCGCTCTTTCGTATTATAATACTCGAAGAAGGGAAGGTTGTTTACTTTATTTGTGATTCATAGATGGCGCTGCTAACAAATATCGATTTACTTTGCCGGAAAATCGTATCATATTAATACATATGTGCAAACATCGATGTTGTCTGGACCTTATGTAGTTCTTAATTGGCAACTAAGTCTAAAAGCTATAAGTAAGTAATTAAAATACATATAAAAGTACTTAGGTTTTCAAATTATTAGGTTTGAGAAATAGTTCTTGACGTTTAGCAATTACAAGTGGATGTCAATCTCATGAGTGTTGCTCAACTAATCAAAGACCGACTTCTCAATTACGACGGCGATTTTGCGAGAAAAGAGCTTTATATAATTTGTAAAATATGTTAAGTATTTTTTTGATAGAGGACGATAAACAAATATAGAGTTCACTCGATTGAAAGTAAAGTGCCCCAGCCACATAACATCTCAACAAGAACCGCAGTTAAACTATTTTGGATATTGGGAACGACACACACTGTGGGCGGCGGTTGACCCGAAGGGTATCTACTATTACTATTTACTACCATATATATATATCATATGAAAACCTTCCAGAAAAAATATTTTTTGAAACATGGACCCATGTGTTGATCGAACCCACCCGACCCGTATGACCCGTGCATAGCTATACATTGCTTCGATTAGATATGTCATTTACAGTAGAGCGTGCACAAACAGCTCTATCGGAAGGTGAAAATTAAATTTTGCGAGATTACGTATAACCCTGAATTCATCGGATTGAGCTTGAACGCGGGCTTTGTTGATTGGCATTCATCAATTAAATTCCTTGTATTTTTCAATGGAATCGCTTATACTCTTAAGCAGCTGTCAGCCAACGGATGGATGGATCTTGTTTATGGTGCCGCGTGCACAATTCTTCCAGTACTACGAAAAGTTCTTTAAGATGTCGGAATGATAAGTTTTGTCTCAATAAGTCGAGCCATTGAATGTTCTTCCCATAAAAGTGAAGCCAAATATTAAGTGAGGAATGTTTTTTTTTTTCAAACCATTTTAGGAGAAAAGTTGATTGCTAAATGTTTTTATTACTACAGTAAAAAAAGAACAACTGCTTCGAATTAAAAAAGTAATTTTGCGTTGATTGGCCATTTATTGAGGAAGGCTTTAGGCTATAAACTATCAGATTACAACCAAGAACCAGCGAAGAAACATAGAATTTGAGAATGGAGAAAGTTACTCATCTATGAGGGTTTCTGTTAGATATGTAAAGTTAAATTCTTTAGTTTTGTGACGTTCACAAGTGTACCTATATGAATAAATGATTTTGACTTTGACTACGTTGCGTGCATTGCGACAACGGTTTAACAGACCAAAAAAGAAAGTACAAAATAATGATTCCTCTTTAAATAGTAAAAAAAATGTTTGCGACAGAATATTATGTCTATCTTTGAAGATTAACTCACAAGGACCGTTTTTATGTTGATCAAATTACGTAATATTATAATTAGAAATACTTCTTATGGCTAAAGAACGTTTGCCAGGTCAACTAATTGCTTACAATTCCGCACTACGTACTTTTACTTTTCACACTGTGTAAAAAAAACAATTGCTAACTATATACAGCATGCTCTAAACAAATGTGTCAAGGACATGGTACTCACTGCTCGGAGTCGAGTATACGGCGCCTGGCGTGCGGTTGCGGCGTGTTCGGCGCCGGCAGCAGCCTCTGCGTGTCCGGGGAGCACGCGCGGGCGAACGCTGCAGCCGCTTCCGCTGCTAATTCGTCGTCGCATAATGTGTCGTCGTCCGCTGGAAATAGATGTTAGATTAGCGTGAACCAGTTGTAAACCATAATATTGTTCTCTGTTCTAGTCTATATTGTAATTGGTATTGTAAGTCTCTTTTGCAACTAAAAGATTAAATCGAATTAATAAAAGGAGCTGAATATAGTTGAAATAGCTTCTTACTTGCTACAAACAAAGAAATATGTAACGTTTAATAATTAAAGTGTAATCAAAGATTTTTCTCTAGCAGTTACCTTTGCTATAGAAATTAATATATACTTTATTTTACTTCATGTGCACTAACCCGAATAAAAATTTTCGTATCCGTGTTATTTATGAAATTCTTCTGAAACAGCTCATCCGATTTTATGAAATTGTATACGCCTATTCTGTCGGTCTTAGAATCGGTTACGATCTAGTTTTTATACCAATCCTTTTTTATTAACTGATGGTGTGAATGCCTAATGCACGCCCACGTCGGGCAAGTGTGACGTGGGGAGTGTGGTAAATCGTATAGCCGACCAGAACCACTAAACACACCACCAGCCCTCTACGGTGCTTTAAGGGAGCTCTGGGAACACATTTGTACGACTTCGAATTTTATACCAATCCCAACATTCCTAAATTTTCACCGTTCTATCACCAACCCAGTAATTGTAATGTCAATAAATTATAATAAATGATTCTGTTGTGTTTTGTTATTTTTGTACGTCGTTCACAGCCCTTGCCTCGTTTACTCATGTACCAGATTCTTACTCAATAGAAATTCCCTATAAATTATTGTTATGGCAAAAAAACGGTTGCCGAGTCAGCTATAACATATTTACACCCAGGAAAGAGTAAGAAAATCCTTAAAGACTACGTCAACAATGACACGTAGTTACGCAAGCCTTTATCTCAGATGTAAACACCGTTATCACGAAGTGGCGCATTGCAGGGATTTTGGCTCAATTATCATCTATTTGTGGTAATTTACTGCAGTGAGCGTGTGAAAAACGTATGACGATAACATTAATGAATGTAAAGACAACATTTGACGGGTTGATTGTTCTAAGGCATAGTAAGGCAAGTAATTCTCGACACATACACCATGTTTCGAAAGTTAATTTATAATTATTTTGAAACAGACGATGGAAATGAAACGATGTCCCATCGCGGGTCAGTTTAGAGATTTAGTTGAGTTTTTAATTTAGTAATTTTATCTTCGATGATTTTCAGCATAGGACATTCAACCTCAATCCGGTAGAGTTTAGGTTGAAATGACATTGCGTGGTCCAGTCATTATCGCGTTAAAGAATTTCGATAAGGTCACACGAGACGCGGTAACTCAAAAATCTCTATTTTTCTGCAGTAAGTTTGACAGAGAATTGGGCTTCTTTATTAAGGTTTTCCTCTACCATTTCTTAAACGATATAAAAGTGTGTCCGGCATTTCGCTTCCCTTGGCGCAGACATTACTTTGTACGTTTTATTTGAGCAGGCTAACATCCCTGCAAATAGAGTCAGAGACCTCTGTATATGGATATAGCTCAAATAAACTTCTTTTATTCATTATTTATTAAAGCTGATTTCTTCAGTCTGTTCTTTGTTAGTTGGCAAACATTATATGTCAATATCTAAATAATGTGTCCATTCACACTGTTTTACTAAGAACATTGATCTCCGAACGTGACGAGTAACAAATTGCCGATTAATCTATTTCGATTCCTTATTTATTGATTTGGGTTTTGGATACATGAATGTTTGGGGTCATTCAACTTTCTCGTAAAATTTTCAGGTCATTCTAGTTCTGTCAAACTTCCTTTGTTCTGAAGATGGGTAAAACGTTCCGAAAACATGTTTGCGTTTACAATTCAAAACGTGGATGACATTGTTATGATCTGTTTTACTCGGTTTATTATTTAGACATTCCAAGTGTGTTTTTGGATCGAACAATTTTTTTAGGCTAATCAACATTTTATCGTGGCTGGTAAGCGTCAACCGCCTGACATGTTGTGGGGCCGACCTATTTAGAATGTTTTTATGTACAATTCACTTGATATTGGAAAAATCTACGATTTTAATTCATGCGGTTTCTTTAGTTAAGGATTTGACTAAATCTGTGCTAAGCATATAATCTCCTGAAAACTTGTGCCTCTTGGATCAGAGCCGCTTGAATCATATCAACTTTTGTCTAAAAAATAGAACACAATAAACGGACACAGAAATGTGTATGCGCCATGCTTTGTGTGTACCTTTCAATAAAATATACAACTTACGGCTAAACTCAAACCCTTCGTTAATCATCTCTCAAGACCAAAATACCGCTACAAAACAATATAAATAAAACACAGGCAAATTGTCAATGTCACTTCTCAAACACAAATTTCCCTTTTTGTTTAATCACACTTTTGTTATTTAGTAACTACGCGAATACTCTCAGGTACAGTTAACTTCAAAAAGCAATCTTCCAAAACTTAATAATTATGTTACGTTATCAGTACGCAGCTACAAGAGATAAAACGAAATGTGGATTTTAATACAATGACCCGATTAAAGAGGTGTTTAACAAGTCCGTTGGATGAATACAGACACATATTTGCATCTGTGACACAATTAATTATTAACGTCATGAAACATATTTATGACGTTATGCACCTTTGCAAGCGTTTGAAAACTGTCTTCAGTTAGATAATCTGACCTATGCCTATTGAACAATAACGAAGAGAAGATGAGAAGAGACACAACCCAGAGTCACTTGATGGGAAGAGAATTTTTCTTTTCGTCAAGTGAAACTCCACCCTACCACTACTATAACTAATTAAGATATGTTGTATACCTAATTCCGAAATTTACAATTACCGAAAAACGAAAAATACACTGCACGACTTGTTAGCTTACACAGAAACTGTAGGGTCTAATATGTTAAAACCGATCATATACCCTGTATGTATTTGATCGGTTTTTTTTTCGGCCCGACGTTTCGGATGCTTTGCAGCAGCCGTGGTCACGGGGAGACTTTAAAAATCATTTTCAAATAAGTTTAACGAATATATCGCGTTTTAAACCGTTAAAGTGTTTTATTTAAATTTGTACTACTCGCGTAAACTATAGACAGTATCGATACAACTTGTTTCTTACCGGTTTATATTTTTCTAAATAAATCTGGATATACACCAATTAACGGTGGTAGAAAATAGAAATAACGAAATTCCGCCCGATTCATGCATCATCGTCCATAGATAAAAACGCCGTTACGGTTAATCGCGCTTCCTTTTCAGTCTGTGGCTTTACGAATACCCAAGGGCAAAATAGGTCAACAGAGACACCTTATTTAGAGGTTATATGGCTGGGGTGTTTCACCTCCCATTAAGTAAACTCCATGCCTGTCTATCATTCTCTATCATTAAAGAAAAGTCAGTTAAACTCACGTCGTATACGCGACTGTAATTCCAAATTCACTGTCGTTTCGATGTTCATACTTCAATGCACTTTGTAAAATCGATGTCTTTGTATCTCCGTATTGACTGCTTCGTGCGATAACTGTGAATGCTTTTTATCGACAAATCGTTTCAAAACTCGGCTTATCTCTGATAACTGAATGGGGTTTGTTTATCCGTTTTAGAGGTATACCGTGATATATTATTTTTATATACATTATAATATATTCGTACGTATTTGAAATTTTAGCAGTTTATTGGAACGCGCTAATCTTAGAAACTACAGCATCGAATCGAACATAATTTTTGTGTTGATTGGACGAGGCTGCGATTAATGTGAGCGAACTAAGAGACCGAAGAGAGAAATGTGGAGAAAACGAGAAAATTTATTCAGCTTTGAGGGTATCCGTTGCGTGCGATGCGAAAACGGTTTAAGATACCAATCTCGTTTAAGTAAACACATGAGTCCGTTCAAGTGCGGGACCCTGCAACTTGTATTTGATTTTATATTTACTGCTTAAAAACAATCCAGCTGACGGATTTCTATGAAAATCTTTTTTTAGATATATATAGCATCTAACAAAAGATTTGCCTTACAAGGAGAGCTATTAATTCACGTTTCCTCGATTAAATAATATTCACTGTTAATTATTTATTATCTGTAGTTTACGAGCGTAATACATATTTAAATTAACATTTAACGGTTTATAACACAAAATGTATTAGATAACTTAATTACAATTAATTTAAACTTCGGCCGACGTTTCCAATGATTTGCAGGAGCCGTGATCACAAGATTAAATAAGTTAATTAATACACTTTACGTTTTAAACCGTTAAGGTTTATTTTATCACTGTTGATACATTTCGGTGTCTGTTTCACGCAAATATGTCTCACTTCAATACCTACTGTCAATACTGGACAACAGTTGATAATGATATTTATATGACATTTCGCAAGTCCAAACACAAACAGGTATAGAGAAAAACTGCTCCAATTTGAACGGTCTATTAACACTGACTGAAGTCGTTAGTGCTCTTAATGAGTAAGTTGATTACGCAAAAATGCTGAACTCATTTAGATTCATTATAACCTCGGTTAGAGTAGGACTCAAATTTGACTATACGAGGTCGATCACTAATAGTATTTTTAAAAACAAACGAATGCATTATTAAGTAAATTTAAGATATTTACAAAAAAATAATACATCTGTTGCGGTCAGATTGTATAATACATTACGGCTAGCTGTTTTCAAAAACAGGGCCGCTTTGTAATGCGGCGGTTCAACGATAGAGACGGCCTCAAATAATCAAACACCATGGATCCCATATTAAAAACTCTGGATACCAATAAACAGAAAACCGGCAAACGCGAAGACCGTCACAGTCAGTTTATTCTGTAAGGACCCGGCCAGTTTCGGCAAATACCCACTTAGACTTTGACGTCGGAGACATCATCCATCTTTAGTCTTCCCGTAACCACGGCTGCTTCAAGCATTCGAAACGTCGGGCCAAAGTTAAAAGTTTTCAAATAATAATTTCTAATATATTTCGCGTTATAAACCGTTAAAGTGTTTTATTTAAATGTGTACTACTCGCGTAAACTACAGACACTATTTAAGACCCAATATGTTTTAACCATTGAGCTACAGAGACGGTGCTGAATTAGAATGAATGAGCTTCATATAAAGATACACAAATAAATGATCAATGTATCAACAGAAAACAAAAATCAAAAATAGGTTACTTGGAAAACATTTTGATCCACAAACGTGTGTCATTTTGTATATTTCCATAGATTTAAAGTCGCAATGACCAAAACAACGGATTACAGTCTCCACTCGTAAGATAATAAAGATGATATTTTAGTGTCATTGATACCTAATATAACCTACTATAAATACAAATTTGACACAGTAATCGTAATAGCAAGTGGGACGTGTTATCAGTGTTCGTTAACAACGATCGTGTTTAGTGTCATTCACGCTTATCAATATATCCGAAAACATCAAACACCGACTATGCTCGTGACTTCATCCGCGTTGAATAGTTATTTTAGGCACTAAAATTTGTTTTTTTAAACCTCTTCATCTTTATAAATTATAGTCCACAACGTCGTCCGCGTATCGTTGTTTTTGCAAGTTAATCTTTAAAGATAGGCATATAATGTCGTGTAAATACTGTCTATAGTTTACGCGAGTAGTACACATTTATATAATGTATCGCGTTTTAACCCATTAGTGTGTTTTATTTAAATATAATGTCGTGGACATTTTTTTTTATTATTTAAAGAGAAACATTCTTTCGTACACGTTTTTTGGCTATCTTGTACCGATACGCAACGCACGCAACAGAAGCATTGCCTCTTCGCTCTTATTGATCGTATCGGGTATAGCCTAAATCCTTCTTCAATAAATGCTCAACACAACACAAAAATGCATTTTCAACTTGAACCAGTAGTTTTATACGATTGGTATAGATGAACATTCTACTTTCTTCAGTTTTCGTAAACCAATTAAGTTGTACTGAGGGTGTTATATCATATGGTCATGGTGTTAGATCCCTACTTAAAGCGAACGGGAGATACATGTATAATTCATACTTACTCAGCGTCGTATGCGAATGAGGATTATGTATGATGCGTATCCTCCTCTCTGGGTGCAGAGGTTCTCCACCAGCACCGCCAGCTTCTCTCACCACCCACCTAGCTGCCTCTGCTTCGCGAGTACTACGAGGGAAGTACAGCGCCGCTAGTGCAATAAACGGTGCCAATTCTGCCCCACAAGAGCTCGTCAGTATCACCAGATGCGGAGCGGAGTTCTGTTCTAGGTAGCGTCGGATTGTACCTGGAAAATTCGTTGTTGAGTTAAACCGGATTTAAGGTCAAATTGAAACTTAGTCAAGGATTTTGTAGTATTTGAGATGAGAGAATAATAATTGCAATTAAAAATGATACAAATTCTGCCGTATAATTGTAACTGTTACAAACGCAAAATACGAGTTAGTACTATCTATAGTCTCCCTGTAACCACGCCTGCTGCAAAGTATGCGAAACTTCTGGCCCAGTTAAACTTATTTGAAAAATAAATTTTCAAATAAGTTTAACTAATATATTTCGCATTTTAAACAGTTAGTGTTTCATTTAAATGTGTACTATTCGCGTGAACTACAGACATTATTGTAAATAAATCACGATTTAAATTGGTATAATTTACAGCTATACTTACGTAGAGCGACGTGTGCCGCGACATCTGGCGGGAAGTTTCTCCGTGGAGTGTTGACAACGCAAAGCGCCAACGAACGTGCACCTAACTCGCCCACCTTATATAGTACGTTTCTGAAATAAACAAAAACAACGCCTTAGACAAATTTTATAGCAATGGTTTCTTGAAACAATTTAACTTACATTTACGGAGACTTGAGTTATTGGTAAGTTATAAATAATATGTTGGTTAAATACACTCATTCAATATATCTATTGATAATCGTAGAGACTTGGGATAAAAAAATTACCCCTAAAATACTATAACTGGCTACGATGAACACAAACATATAATAAGTAATTAATTATTCATACAAAGGACATAATATTTACTGTATGATTTACATATATCGAGAGATTATTTTTATTACAAAGGAGAAAAGAGGCTATGAGCCAGATAACATATAAAAAGGGTGTGTTATCGACCTAACTTGGCTTTGAATTGTATTTTTCTAAAATAGCTCGTACATAGCTTAATGAAGAATAATTCTGAATCCTTATATATTAAGTAAAAGCTAATCGTTTATTATTACTGTAATGAAGCTGATTGTCTGTAAGTTTAACCATATTATATAACACAAAATTGAAATAACTAAATATGAATAAACATACTTGTAACAATTATGCAGAGAGCTCTCCGCCGCCGTGTGGTACTTGGCGAGATATTTGGGACTGACTGTGTGAATGAGATGGCGACAGTGCAGGGCGTAACCACCTGTCACTACCACTTCACCCGTCCGACATTCTGAAAATTATGAACACCCCCGTGAAAAGTGTTGCGCTCGGCAAGAATTTAGGCCATTAATGTGTGCCCTACCAGTCCGAATTAATTTACCATACTTTTCAGTACTGAATTAACCGTACACACTGTATTTTAATGATAGAGGAGGACAAACAAACACGGGGTTTCGGAGTTGAAATATTCCAGCCTATATATCATCTACTAAATATATGGCCAGTTAATTGTTTCGAAATTCCTAAACGATTGATTTTCACCTGGACAGATGATTTGGTAAGTAACTTTAGTTTTCGAACTGTTTGATCACTGCTCAAAACCACAAGTAGTTATGCAAAATCCCCGCTAAAGCCTTTACGATTTAAATATAAAGTTTTAAGTCAGGGCGTATTACCAGATACAGTTGAAGGTATCACAAATGTTACCGTGTGCTCTTGTGATAATTTCCTCCTTCAGGTCAGGCCCCGCTGCGGACATGATGCGTTCGCTGACTGCGTTGCATTCTGTCAACGTTTCGTCGCTCGTGTTAGTTATCGCGTCCACTTCCAGCGTCGATATGTCGCCTTGCCTAAAAGTAAATGGGTAATTCATTAAAGACATTTTATATACAATATTACATAGAGTTGTACGTTATTAATACAGATAAGGGTGATAAACATATTTTTTTTATATAGAGGAGGACAGTGGGGTTCGCTTCATGGGAGGTGAAATACCCCAGCCATATAAATAAGATGCGCTATCGACCTATATTGGCTTTGGATATTCCGAAATCCACAGACTGAAACCAAAATGCGATTAAACTTCAGGGCTTTTTCATCTGTGACCCATTTAATATTCAGATTTCCAGACAAAGTCCAATATGCTACAGAGTAGTCATAAATTGAAAAATTAGAACCATGTTGGACCTGGTGGGGATCGAACCCAAGACCCGTTGATTACTAGTCATACATTATTACCCTTAGACCAACGATCCCAAATATGGGAGTGGAAGTGAAGATAACATTATTCAAGACTTTTCTTAATTGAAGCAGCCAAATTAAAATTATACCATATAGCGAATCGGTTGTTGATAGCGTCGTCGTAGGGGAAGACGGGGTAGGCGTGCAGCGGCGGGGCCTTCCCCGTGTAGTCCGTGAGGGGCGCGTGGGTCACCTGCGACCAGCGGGTCACAGCGCTGGGCGACACGGCGCCGTTGGCCGCCGGCGCGCGCATCACACCGTGCTCTGGAATTGCAGACAAGACGATTAGCGACTACGAATTCAAATTAAAAAGTACGTAAAACACACAGATACATAATTTCTTAACAATAAGAAATATTTTTATTTTATTTCGTTTCATTGATATTTTCCATTCAAAAGTAGATTTTAATTTAACAAATATTGGATATATTTAAAAATTAAAATTGCTGAACTACTTGAAATACTATTTAGGTGTCAAAAATTCATAAAACTATTTGAAATAAGATTCATCAAAAGAAATTTATTTGTTAATAATTAAATTATTTTACATTTTATAGACGGAGATAGACAATCGTGGGATTCTCTTGATGGAAGCTATGTTCCCCGCCCAAGCCATATATGTCTTTAGCTGTCGGTAACTCGTTAAGCTGTCGACTTATTATGGCGTTGGATATTAGGAAATCCCAAAAAATCGCGTCCTGCTTCGCGATTCGCTTTACGGTTTTTTTTTCTTTTTTTTTGATGGTGGTCGTGACCCGGACGGAATATTCGATATTCCTACCACCCATTTATTTCGCACGTATTAAACCCGATGAGTATCGACCCACAACCCGTTGATCTATATAGCTATACATTGCTACCATTAGACGACGACAAAGAAACAAAAGTTTGATATAGTATCTTGCAAGTACAACTTCAAGTAGTTACTGCAAATAATCCGAACCGTCTGGCCGCAGTGGCGAATAAAAAACGAATATATCGCTTATTAAACGTTACAGTAACGTTGAATTAACAATGGGAGGACTTTTCCAAGATCTGCCGCTTCGACAGTCTTCCACAACGCCGTGCCATGCCGTGCCATCTACTAAAAACCTGAAATGACATTCGGCACGCACTAACAAGTCATAATTTATGAATACTTATTTGCTCTTTAAGGTTTTAAATTACAGATTATTATCATAAGTTTTTTACATCATACATTTCTATTTTAAAAAGCTATTTTAGTTCATAAGCGAGGCCGTTATAATATAAAAGATAAAGGCAAGTTAAAATGAGTCGTGAATTTACACTTTATTTATTCATTTACGGACGGTGATTCCCGGACCCACTACCCGTTGATTATTGGCTATGCCCCGTGAAAATATTTTTCTCCAACCCTTAATAGTACCGTGCCAAGGACACATCGTCGATCTTTTATGCAGACTACGATAGCAGCAATTTGTCACGAGGCCAGATAGCGATCGCTAATATGTCGACAGCCCTTAGTGCTAAGCGCACCTTGTTAACAGAGTGTCACTTAGAACCCTATTCAGGCTGTGCAATGTTAAACGTCCTTGGCATCTTAACTCAACGCGAAACAAGGCGTTTATGTGTGCGCGCAGTCCCGAGTTCGAATCTCGGAGAAACGTTTTTTTTTTCGTTTAAGTGGGCTACTAACATAGAACGTCGAAACGAGATTCCACTTTTATCATTTATGGGATATTTATGTGGTAAGATGTGAATTCAGTTAATTAGGTAATTACGAACTCTGTATTGTGGTAAAAAAGATATATTAGTACAATTTAAAAATAAGTAATAGAACATCTTATTTAGTGCATTTAAGGGCATTTTCCTAAAAACGGCGTATTCTTATTTAATAAGAGGTTATACGACAAGTTCATACAAGAAAAGAAAATAGTTTTCCCTAGTAATCGTGGAAACACGCTCCAATTTCGTAAGCACACATAAATAGTGTCACCTATTGTTATATTCTGTAACAGTTGAATTAATAATGGAAAACACCCTGTATAGGCCTTTACAGTGGCTAAAGCGTGTTTGCATTATTAAATATACTCGCAATTAAAATCGTTGGACATGCCATTTATTTTTTGTTGACTTAATACTATCGATTTATACGGCACACAAGTATACGATATCGCCGAACATACTTTTAACGGTTTGAAATGCAAATATAATAGTTAAGTTACGTCATGATCGTGACGAACACATTAAGTATTGTATTTACTATGTACCACTAGCGTAAAATACAGACAATCAACTAGATAAGACAAGTTGATAGACATATTGATCTAAGTCTAAGTTCTTTGCATCTACTAGAATTCAATACTTTTAAATGAAAATATTTAAGAATAATGCTTTATTCAAGTCACTTTTTCATTCGTCGAGATCCGATATTTTTGCTCATAAAGTATTTTACTACCTACTACTTGAAAATACACCAAAAATTTTAATCAAACAAAATATCCGGAAATTAACTAAAGAAGAAAAGCTATGTTATAATACATGCGTTAAAAGTACGACACGGCAGCTGTAACTAGTTAGTAGACTAACTGAAAGTAAGAAAAATACGTCAAACCGTTTATTAAACGAAAATATGCCACTGGTTATTTAAATTGAAACACTTTAAAACACGGAATCAATGAAGCGAGGTTTAACACTCGAATGATTTCATAAATACCTTTAAAAAAAAGGTTATACAAATTAAACCGCGACCTAATTACCGATTGGATTCATAAAACTAATTGCGATAACGAGTGCGCTTAAAAAATTGTGAATTACATAAAGAAAATTCATTTAATTTAAAGTCATACCCAATATAGTCATTTTGCGAAGCACTAATACACATCCGCTCCCTTCGAGGGGCGAGGAACGAGTGACCTCGAAGGCTGCGTAGTGGGTGACGAGAGGGGTTGGGATGTGACGTCACAAGGTCGACGACCCCGGAAGTAGGTCAGGGGAGCACTTCGATCAAAGGCTTTGTTGCCAGATTTGTTACGTAAACCATCTCGTCTTTACTGACGATAGTTTTTTTGCTTCAGTAAGCTTCCCTGTTCGACCTTGTTTTATTTTTCGATCTTCCATTAGATCTTTAGTAGGATTTTTTATATAATTACGCTAGATAACAGCCTTACAGGTCTGGCCCCATTGGTCAAAGGACAGGTAACACAAGGTTTCTATTTTTTAGCTTTAGATATGCTGGTCCACTCTCAAGCTATTTTTAACTGCATTAAGCCCAAGAAATGATATTTTTGGACATCTTTTGCGTATTATCCACTGTTTCTTTTCTCCTGTAAGTCGCGCGTGATGTTTTATGTGCCTTCCTAAATAAGCGCTCTAACCGACACATTTAATTTGAACCCGCAGTTGAGACCAACGCGTTCATACAATCAAACAAACTCTTCAGCTTTATAATATTAGTACAGACTAAGAATTCTTTTAAATATATTTTTTAAAGAAAAATATACAACCTAAAAAGTTAACCGAAGTCCTACTCCTATTTGTGTTTCTTTTGGCTGTAAGCCGATGACATAGTGTATGTGGATCTCTGTAGGTATGTTTACTTAAAGATTATTATATTTGTAAATATTCACTACTGTCGACTGCGCATGACCTCAATTCAAGATTAAACACAAATGCACAAACAAACGTTAAATGAGATGGATCATCTCATTCAATTGTTTATTACAATACGTGATATCACGTGATACTCGTTGAGAACGAAGAAACTCATTGTTTTATATAATTAACGTAAACAAATAATAATAAGTGACATAAATACTGTCTATAGTTTACGCGAGTAGTACACATTTAAATAAAACACTTTAACGGTTTAAAACGCGATATATTAGTTAAACTTATTTGAAAATGATTTTAATTGTCGAACCCCACGGCTGCTGCAAAGCATCCGAATCGTCGGGCCGAAGTTAAAAATCATTTTCAAATAAGTTTAACTAATATATCGCGTTTTAAACCGTTAAAGTGTTTTATTTAAATAAGTGACATAATTATGTGAAAACCCAAAAATACCTTTTTGGCTTTAATTCATGTATAATTAGAATTTAAATAGTCAACGATTACATTTTATATACCTACAAAAAATTTATATGCATATATGCTTTCCGCTTATAAAATAAATGTTTTTACAAGTATAATCCTCTCTAGGATAATTAACTAGTATATGCGATTAAAATTAAATATTCAGGACAGGTCAGTAGCGGGTTACACTTAATAAGACAGACATTTAATGTGTATTTTAAACTCTATGTTTTTAAATAAACATACAATATATAAAACCAGTAAACACGTTTTTACGAAAGATTCATTTTTTAATCTCTTTTACTATCCCTATATAAATAAAGCTTTCACAGGATCATTCGATGAGCTACGTACAAATATTTTCTTCTTTATCATCGCTTATCTATCACCTGCCTTATCAAATCTTTTGATCCAATGCACTAAACTGAGAAAACTGACTAACAAACGCATTTATTTAAGCGTTCGAGGAAAAAGGTCTTTATATTGTAACGTTGACTTTTATATCGTAAATAGAAACGGTTTGTCATATGACTATTTATTCCTATCAGGTGACAAAAACGGCTTTGATAAATACCTATACGAAAAGAAATGTAAATGTATATTATGAAGTCATTGAAGGACATTAATAATGTATTTACCATCTACTAGCAGGTTTAAAGTGTGAAATTCCCGTTAACCCTCCCAATGGGACGCATAGATTACTGTACCCTGTGCCTGGCCGAACCGAAACAATTCGATCCTAGGACCTAATGACTTGGAAGTCTACTATGTATAACTTCCCTTATCCCTTCATGTTATTTAGCTATCAGTTGAAACTCCCAGTGTTTAAAAAATTAACTTTATTTGTTCTCAACTCTTCTATTATTAATGTAATAAAATGGAAAACCAAACTCAAAAATCGGTTTTATCATTCGTACTTAGTTTAACGTAGTTTGAATACAATACAAACAAAACTTTAAAACCAGTTTTCTATTAGAGATTATCGTGAAGCAAATTTTAATTTTGTAGTAAAAAAAGGTAGAAACAAACCGTTTTCATACTTTGCTGTGCTAAAAGTGGGGAAACAATGCTCACTTTAGTTTAGTGCCCATACAAACTTTTATGCTAGGCTTTAAAAATGGCCCTATTGTTTAAACTTTCACGTGACCTAAATGTAAGCTCGTGGCTATGGAAATAAAGAGGTGCCTACATAAACGTCGTCGATTTTAAACTTTTTATGATAGAGGACA